CCATTCCTCTTCAATTTGTCATTCCCCACATAGTAGACTATATGGTTGTCTGATTCAAAATGGTCAAAACCAGTCCATTTCAGCTCACTAATGCCTAAGATTTCAATCTTTATGCATTCGATTTCATTTTTGACAACTTCCAATTTTCTTAGATTCATACTTTGTACATTCTGTGTTCCGATCATTAATGAATGTTTACAGCTGTTTCTCCTTAATTTGAGTCATGCCACATCAGCGAATATAAGTCTCAAAAACTTCACCTCATCCACATCAGTAAGGCTGGTTTAACTCTGATGATGCAGCTCTTTCCCAGTCATATTTTGAGAGTTTCTAACCTGAGTGATTCACTTGTATAGCAAGAGTACTTATTTGTATTGCAAGAGGATATTATCTGATTGTCTTTGTCCCCAGTTTTGTTGCCTCAGGAGCCTTCTCTTATTCAAGGAGCAGCTAGAGAAGTCACATTTTTGTTTTAATTCACACCCTAGCTTGATAATAATACTGACTTGATTATTTTACGCATATTTCGAAAGGAAAGAAGAAATGCTGGTTAAGTGCTCTGTTGCTAACAGAGACGACCAGTTGCTCCACAAGAGAAAGATGTGGCAATCTGCTACCAGAAAGATTACAGCTTTGGAAACCCTATGGGGCAGTTTTACTGTGTCCTATTAGGGTTGTTATGAATAGGAGTCAGCTCAGTAGCAAGGTTAATAGTATTACTATAGACATTGCCACTTTGATATCAAGTAAGCATGCCAAATTTAGCATATCCATAATGCAACCCTTGATGCCCCACCTCCTCCATTACTGTTAGTCTTCCCCTCCCAGTACATGACATTATCATCCATCTGAGAGCTCACACTTAGAACTAAGTTAACTGTGACTTCTCTCATGCTCCATGGCCAATCTACCAACAAAGTCTATCAGCTCTACCTTCAAAGTACATCCAGGATCAGACTATATCTAATCTTCCACTGCTACCACTCTGGTACAAAGAATATAATTTCTCATTGGGTATTTTTCAGTAGTTTTCTAATGAGTTTCCCCATTCTTAATCTTGAATCCCTATGATCATTTCTCCAAAGAACAACCAATCATACCATTCCTTCTAAGTAAGATCTCAAAAAAATATTACTCTATTGCTTACATAACCAAAACTTTAACTTCTCCCATCATATTAAGCCTGTACCATGGCCTGTATTAATCATATATATATATTTATATACATACATACATATATATATATATATATACACACACACACACATACATACACACACACATATACACACACATATGGGAGCTCTGGTAGCATAGTGCCTAAGGCACTTGACTGCTAACCAGAAGGCTGGCAGTTCAAACCCACCAGCCAGTCCTTGAAAGAAGATGGGGCAATGTACTTCCGTAGTGATATTGCCTCGGAAACCCAAGGGGGGGTCGCTATGATAGGGTCTGACTCAATGGCACATAACCACAACAATATATACACATATATATATACACATGTTGTTGTTGTTGTTGTTATGTGCCGTCGAGTCAAACCCGACTCATAGCGACCCCTCCT